GAGGAGGGTCGCGGGGAAAAAAAAGAAGATAATGATTACCATCTAATTACCATCTAGGGCGATCTAGGCATGGAAGCTTCTGTTGTCTAGATCCTCACAGGCGCCACTACACTCCCTGGAAAAAGCATGTAGTGCGACACGTCCAGTCTTAATTCCTGTAAGACCTCTCAGCTTCTGCGCTGTACGACAGAACATACACAGAGAATTCACAGGTCCCGATGTTCCCAAGTCACCGCAATTCCTCGGGGATCGAAATGGACAATAATGCCGTCTGATAATCGTATACGAACTATTGGAAAAAATTGAGACTCGCGAGGCCATAACCATGGACGATAGTACAATAACGATAGTACAATAGTCCATAGTCATTGCAATGCGCCGACATCGTAGCCACTGCGAAACGGGAGAGTGCCGATCCTTACATCTCCCACATCTCCCTAGTCTCTCTCCCTTAGCCAAAGGGACGAAGGCTCGTAGGGGGAAATTACGGCTGTGGCTGCGGCGGTAGAGATCCCGACGCCTCCCACGTATTCTACTCAATTAAGGGACGTTTTACACCCTGAAGTCCACCCCGAGTCCGAAGGGGCGCCGAGTCTTGCACGAGTCTTGCACTATCCCGACGAAAGAGTGGACACGCTTGCGCGATGTGGCGTAAGCCCTAAAACGATTAATGGAATACATGACGCGGGAAAGGCGGGAGAGGCGGATAGCTGGCCCAGGATCTAACCAGGATCTAAGGGGACGTTATAGGGTGCTATCGATGCAGGAGAGAGTCACGACTTGGGCTCGCTTTCGCTTCTTGATTCTTTTTTTCCGGTCGGGTCATGTATGGTCACGTATGGTCACGTCTATGGTCACGTATGAATAACTTATGAACACATGCACTAGATTAAACAGGCATAATATTGATCTGCAGGTGAGGCTTCGGTCGCCGTCGAGTGGATGAGTATGGCGAGTATTGCACGCCTCATCGGGTCTTGTCCCGGAGATCAGCACGGAGTTTAGGACTGCAGTTATACGGATCGGCCATGGGTTTATAATGCGTGGACAAGTCACAAGACCTCTCTGTCCAAGCCAAGCCGGAGGCCGTAACACTTCAGTGAGACAAGAGAGAGAGCCGCCTTCCACTAGGTATATACTGGAGATACATTGCTTACCTGGGTATATACTACCTAGTAGGTATATATTTGGACGCATTGAGTTCATAAAACACACACGAGATGAGCATGGGACCCCTTTTAATCGTTGTGTGGGGGAGGAACAAGGTTTAACCACCACTTTTACCTGCATGGAAATTCGAATATAATCCAAATGCACGGAGTATGGAGTATAGCGGGTGTGGAAGATACATAGAGGCTGGCTGTATCTAGGCTATATTTACACAAACGCCCAAACAAATAAGGCGTCAATCTATTATGTATCTACCTATCTATTGAGTATGCGGGAATGAATTAAAGTCTAAAACAAGGTGTTAGTATTGTTGCAACTAGCGGCAACTGATCGTAAACGAATGTTGTACTAGAGTAACCTCAGACCTTACGAGGGAGCGCCAAAGATGTCGAGGCCGAGCTAGTTGGATATTTCCCGAAGCCAAGACTTTTTTCGTCTACTCTCTACTCCGTGCCTTTTGTGGGACCTGAGCACTTAGCGGTTACAGCCAAGCTGGTAGGAATTCACGGGATGAGAGGGGTAGCTAAGATGAAAGGAATACCGTGGCAACGATGACAACAACAACAACAACCCAGATTATACCTACCACGCGAACACCTAAGAATAGATTTAAGGCAAGGTGAGTCGTAATTGCTGATGGGATACCAAGGACACGGAATACACAGAGCACAGAACACGGAACACGTATATGATAGGGCGGCCCGACAGTTTGGTTATGCTATTGACTGAAAGGACTACCTACTACACCCAGAGACATGTATGTAAACAACGAATTAGGACTAGCAAAAGGGCCAAGAAGTAGCTTTCCCGATTAGGAAAATTCCTACAGAACGTGCCCTAGTGTGTTGGGTTTCTATCCAATCCCCTTTCTGATTATTGTTTCTCATATGAAGGTCATTGGAAAATTGGATGTCTCTGATTTGCTTCGACGAGACTCATGTCAGTATCATGCCGGTGATTAGGATCTGATTGTCAAACATAATCTCATCTCTACTCATATCTTATCTTATGTTATAAGCTCCCCCGAACATGCATTCAATATCGCGAAGTATCCATATACATTGATAATCAGATTGGGATGTATAGAAGTAAAAATAGTCTCACGCACGCGGTTAAGTACTATGTCGCTCCGAACTATATGTATACGTGGGTATGCTTGGTAAATTATACCGTCGCGTGCATACCGCATAGGCAAACTTACATATACATATGTCGATGTCGGGTTCTTTAATCTATGCAACATGTAGTTTGACGTAGAAAGAGAACCACGACTGTATATACTAACTAATAGATATAGTAAAAAGGAAAAAAAGATTTTTCACATGATTAGGTACCCTTAAGTATTTACGTACGCATGCTTTAAATAGCATTAAAGCTAAACGTAGAAAAAAAGGCAAAAGAGTAAAACGATGTCACGTAGCATTGTAGCGGTCGATTAAAAGGCAATGTATTTGTGAACAATAAGTACCTAGAATAGATGGATGCGAGATTCTCAGGGGACGTAAATAAAAAGTCCCAGTTATAGTTTACATACCTAAGTTTTCCCGAACCGCAGCTAAATAAACGCCGACCTACGCTTTGATACAGGGGCTGGTGGTGGCGCAGAATAGGACCAACTAGGACTAATTAGGAGTAGTATGTACTCAATGTGCCTGTGTGCGCATTCATCTTATCAATAAGCTTGGGTTTAAAAAAGTCAAAAAGTCGTGCATATGTATATTGTGTGTGTGTGTGTGGGTGGGTGAATACCTCCTATGCAATGTGTAAGTTTATGTGTGACATGTAAGTGTGCTATAGCTTGTGTGGTATGCTTAGCTTATGCTTAGCTTGCTACCTGTTTAGGTACCTCTTTACTGTTACTTTACTATTTCGTCACTAAGGTAACAGTTCTACAGTAAAACCGTAGATTCGTTATGGCGCATATTCCTTACATACGTACTCTACCGATTATATCTACCGATTATAAAAGGATTCAGATATATACATTTAAAGGTACGCCATTGAAATTTAACAAGCGCTAATGACAGCTATTGTATTGTACTAGTTGATATATTATACATAGGAAGGATAGCCCCGTAAACCTATAGAGGTCAAAGGAAGAACAAGTAACTTAAAAAAACTTACTCCCGTTACCATCAGGTTCCCGTTACTATCAGGTCAGGGTTTGCTTCGGCCCTTGAACGCGCAGATCTTTGCTGCACGTCTCGGTACTAGGAACCCTGTATGCGACCACGAGGTTGGATCTTACATACATACTCCCAGCTCAACCATCATACAGCAACCACACAGCACAGCTCTCCCGAATCCACCAAGCCTGGAACGGTCCCTCAACCACTTGCAATCATCTGCTATAGGCGAACGACCATAGGTGTTCGCTCGCTTACATTCATGCTCCAACCTTTGGATGACAGCCCAGGCAAATAACCCCTAGCGCCATCATACCCTTCACCCAACCGCCTGTCAGAAAATGATACCTGACTTCGAGTGATTCCCCTCGAATAGGCATCTAGAATAGACCTCTGGAACTGCCCGAGACTTTAGTTTAGGTACCAAACAGCGATGCCAAACAGCGATGCCAAAAACTATGGCCATTGACCTTGACGTCTCTTTCGAGCTGGCGCCGACGTTGAAGATAATGCCATATCTGTCTCACCTACCATTGTCCCTTTCTTAATGGTGTCAGAAACAGATCAAGCTACAACTCTCTGAACTCTCCGAACAAGCTAATTAACTTAAGCTAATTAACCTTATTAACCTTGGTGTCTCCCATTAGCCTGGGAAAGATATCGGGAAAGATATCAACATATCTTTTCCTTTCGCGTCCGCCTACGTGTCAGCCTGGAGCGAAAATTAATGGCCGGGTCTTGGCATTTCACCCCAGATTCATCACACACTATAGTCAAAAATAAACACGAACTACCGTCATAAAAAATAAGAAAAATCATAATCTAACTCTTTGGCTTTTATTATTGTTTAAGATAATTTTTATATTTTATCATGATCATTCTATCATGCGTTTTACTTTAGTCATTTAAGGAGGTCAAGTGCCAAGACCCGGCCATGAAGCTTCGCTCCAGGCTGCGTGTTAACTAACACAGCAAGATTCGTTTCGCTTTCGACGATAGAAGTGTCTCTGTTTCTTACTTTTGCACATCATCGTTATATTGCTCCCGACACCGCGGGGACAGGGGTCATAGCTTTCAAGCTGTACAATACCTATACAATACCTGGATATATACCTAAGTATCTATTTGATGGCGGCTGAAAATGTCTAGGCTAGACCGGGCATTTAAATTGTGTGTCACATAATTGTGTGTTACAACACCACCACCACTTCGTGTCTAAGATACTTGCTTCCCTTCGTACATCCAAATCCTCTTCCCGGGTGACAGGGACTGGTAACTGGTACTAGGAAGACCAGGAAAGATTAACAGACCTGCATCTCGAGGCCCACTGGTGGATCCACTGGTCCACATACATTTACAATTACCTACATTACATACATTTACAATTACATTCACACACTCACACTCACATCTTGTACTCTCAATGTACTTTCCAATTATTACCAGGATAAACTTCCTTGTACCCTTACGTCTTGGTAATAGACCCCAGATGGATCGTCTTTCCTCTCTCGCTTTCATATTTAGAAAGCCACGATCCAGATACGTCTGGTTCATACACATTCAATATAATCTCTATTTACAGGTATTTTTTCCAATTCCAACATTTCCAACCTGACTACTTGGAATGTTCCTGGTGTTCGTATCGAGGATACAAGATACGAGCAAGACTAGGCCAAAGATAACTATCTTATTCGAACCACCGCAATGGTGTATTGTGCATATTGCGGAAAGAGCTTTACGCGCAAGGAGCATCTGGAGAGGCATATTCCAAGTCGTGAGTGACGATCTGCTTCTCTAGAGATTGGTGAATCTGACAACTGACGCCCGGTGCTATAGACACAAACGTAAAACCGCACAGATGCAGCGCGTGCCAACTGTCTTTCGCCCGAAGGTTTGCTCTTTGGCCCTGCGTCTACATTATTCAACTATATATATACTCATCGAACTACTACAGAGACTTATTACAAAGGCATCACTCTACATATCATGAGGCACGAGATCCTATGGAACCTCTGCCGGGTGGTGTTCCTACTATAGCAGGACGAACACCCATTGCGTGTCTTAACTGCGCACAAGCTAAGACGGGCTGCGACAAGAGAGTTCCATGTGCACGATGCGCTGACAAGAATCTCGAATGTCAAGCCAGATTTGCGAGGCGTTCTTCGAAAGCCGCCTTGAGGGCAGCGCAAGCAACAGCTGCTATGAGCAGTACTCAGAACCAGATCACGATACCACCGCAACCTTCAATAACAACCACAGCCACGACGGTCAACCCGGATCCGCTAATAAAAACCTCTGGCTCTGAGTCACCCGAAAACACCTGTAATGCTACGACAATCGACCCGCGAATACAACAACATGAGAACCCCGTCAAGAAAGACTCCCCGGCGAACTCTCAAATGAGCTCCGACGAATTCCCATCTCCTCACCCAAGAGTAGAAAGTTTTGACCCAAGAGTAGAGAGTTTTGACGACTTATTCAACCTCAGCAGCAATTATATATCAGAAGAACCGAGTTATCAAGACATGCTGACCTGGACTGAATACCCCTTAGACCTCGACATGTATGCCGATAATATGGATAATATGGATCTCACTCAAGCCAACGTCGCACTGTCCACTTTCAAGGAACCTAGCGATATTTCATCTAATTCGGAACATATAAGCTCCTCCAGAGGCTCTATACACACGAGAAGCACCAGCATAATGTCTACGTGCGACCTTGAGTCCACTATCAAATCAGTTGATATGACCTTGAATACCCCCACCGATACCACGATACGCGAATTTCAAAGTGTCATCGTGGCTGAGTCTGCATGGCCCCTGGCTCGGTGTAATCCACTTACATACTCGAATACGTGTCCGAGAACAGCTATCGTTCACTTAGAATGCTTGGAACAAAAGTCACGACAAGAAGGCACCTGGAGTGCCTTGGAGCAATATCTAGAGCAAGTCGACTGGGACGCAGCCGACATGGCTTCGGTCATCCCTATGACATCTCGCACTCGTGATAACATGCTCGCGATAACGCAGACGTTCCTGCACAAGGCCCTTGAAATTCATCGCGGAGGACTTAATAGCCCAGCCAAGAGTTATACAGCTCCAAGGTTAATAAGCTTCTTAATTCTTCCTCCTACAAAAGTCCTGGAATATTTCCTCCGCTCGTACGTTCGAAATCTATCGTTTTTCTACTCGTTGGTTTCGGCCGGCTGCGTAGACCCTAACGAGATGCTCCAGAATAACCAGGCGGCAGCTCTTCTTGTCCTACTGATGATTGCGCAGGGTGCTTCTGCTGTCCCCACGGCAGAAGCAAGGGCTCTTTCGGCTGGCCTAATTGAGACTTGCCGCATCTCGCTTTTCGACATTATCGAGAAGGACATCGAGATGTGCGCCGACCCCACCACGCTTCGATGCGCCCTGCTCTTTACGCTCCTCGGAGCCTGGAGCGGAGATAAGTGGCTTATGGACATTGCCATGGGCCAACGCGGCATGTATATCTCGGTGAGCATCCAATAATGCAATCTCCCATCTTACACAGCTTGACGCTTCATGCTAATAACCGAAATATCACGCAGATGCTAAAGCACGCCGGAATGTTCGAACCTCAGCCGTCCATGATGCGCACGTTTAATAGCTCCGCCACTGTCGAGCTCCAATGGCGTGAATGGCTACACCGAGAATCCCAAAATAGGTACCTTACTTACGCCACCGCATCCGGTATTTCAACCAATAGTCTTATGCAGTACGCTGATCTCTTTCAATAGGCTCGTGTATAATTTTGTCATGGTGGACCAAGAACTTAGTTTGTTCCATGATACGGCGCCAATGTTGTCAACCAGCGAGCTCTGCACCCCCTTACCTTGTCCCGACTTACTATGGACGTCGGCCAACGCTGACCAATGGTACGCTGCTGCACAACGTATCTACGGCTACACTGCAAACGTCAATCCTCAGCTTCTTAGCACAGCCCCTCCGGTCAGCCCCTCACTCCATGATCTGTTCCAGGATCTACTGGATGATAAACTGTCAAGAAGGCTGGACACAAGAAGGCCGGACAGCAGAAGGCAGGATAGTCTGACGCCACATCAGTTGCGGCTTTTGCTACATCCCATCCAGTCCTGCCTATACCACATCACACAGATGCTGTCATGCTTCTCGGATGGCATGGGTACAATAAGTATAGGTAATAGGATTGGCATAAAATCATCGTTCGAATCCCGTCGCGACGAATTTCAGGTACTGCTCCAAAAGTGGTACGAGCTGACGATTACCTACTACAATGCGAACCCGACGTGTGCAATCAGCAAGACTAATCTAGTGCTCTTCCACTTAATCTCTCTCAACGCGATTACAAATTTCCTGGAAATAGAGAGGATGGCTCGGCGCGAAAAAGTCGACGGGTGTTATTGGGTGCAGTCCCCGCGCCCCAAGCCCTGCCACAGGCCCTGCATATCTCATCGCGAAGAGGCTATTTTTCATTGCGGTCAGGTATTCCGGCTGATACGGTCGATCCCGCGGGACCGGCGGCCCAGCTGGTGGAGCGCGGGGATCTACCGCGCGACGCTGATCCTCTGGACAGACACCATGTTGCGGCTCGACCCCAACTTCCAGAAACATGAAGGGTTGGGGCCCCCCGTTCCCATCGACCAAGTGACGCCCGAGGACCCCGCCGTTATCACCTACCTGTGGACCGGCGACGGCGTACCGGTACTAACACACCAACGCGACGGCACACACACCAACCTCGAGAAGCCGGGCGACGTACTTGAATACGCCGTCCAGACCCTCGATGATGGCGTTAGTTCCCGGTTTACCGACGGTATCAGGCGGAAACTCGTGATGCTGAACAGTCGCTGGCAAGCGGACGGCCGTACCGGTGCGGGTGTTACCGTTCAGGTGCCTACAACAAGCGTATGTGAACACGGCTAGGCTAGCTGTATCTGCTATCTTCTCTTCACAATATTTCTCTACGATATAGCGGTTTTTTTTTTTTCCTCTTCGAATTTCAATGTCTTACATGCAAGTTACACAAAACAAGACAAGACAAGACAAGACAAGACAACAGAGGCAAAGACGGTAAGACGGGATAGGTGGGAAAACATGGAATCAGATCAGAATAAAGGGGCATAGCAGAAACTTGGCCAGCGCTGGCACGTATACCCACGAGGAAAGAAAAGAAAAGGTGTCGATCACGAAAAACGACGCCGTAATCGCTGACTAGCGATTACGCCTTATACATTGTGCACCAAAAGGGAGGTATCACGAGGTGGAACCAAACAACATGGAAACAACTTCGTTGTTCCGCGAGGAATTCTAACATGTCTGGCGAGCCCACGGCTCGTATATACATACATGTTCCTTGTTCTAGATGCCTCATCTAAAATCCTGACAGGAAGGATAGGAGTACCGGGCGTGTAGTCGCAATCGAAACTGGGGTGGGGGAAGGCGGACTAAGAAGATGACGATCATGATACTTACCGGCGCCTCGCGTCGGGGCAATGACATTAGAGTAAAGGGGGGGAAGAAAGGGGCATTCCGGGCGTTTGAAAAGTGGGGATCGGATCTGTTGTTTGACTTGGGTAGCGAGCGGGCGGAAGTGGGACGATCAGTTCAGACGAGCGGAGAGATGTTGACGATTTTTCGCTTACGATTGTTGGGATGACGGCTCGGGATTAAGTGTCAGATACAGGGGGGGCAAAGGTGCTAGCCTGTTGTTGTGTATAGTGTATTCGCCCCCGGTCAACGGTCAACGGTCAACGGCAGGGCGTGGGTTTTTCGGCACATACTGTATGGGTAAGCGGTTTCTTGCTTGCTTGCTTGCCTGCTTGCTTTGCTTGGTTGTCTGCTTGTATGAACTTGAAATAGACAGCGGGTCATTTTTTGTTGCTTCGCCTCCTTTCTCGACACCATATTGTCTTGCTTCTTATTGCTGATGATGAGAACGTTAACTTATTGCGTATGCGTGCATGCGAGCCAAGCATGTCTGTCATTCACGGTCAGCCTAAAGAATGCGGGAATCTTTCCTATGCTTTACTTCATTTCAGTATTATAGGGATACCTGTGTTACATCAATTGGTATTTACATGTATTTAGCATTACTGTTTACTTGTGTAATAAATACACATCTAATAAATCTTCATTTCTATCTTCGGGCCTCCCCCTTTTTTTCCTCTTTTTCTTTCTCGTTTCGTGCCATTGTTGTTGTTATTGTTCTTCCGCACATCTTAGGTACCTTAAATCAAGGAGCCCCTCGTATGTATGAGGTATACGAGGTCTAGTATAACCTCGATAAACCCGGGAACGGGGTATGGTATTATTAAGCTACCCAGACGCTGCTACACCTTGGACCTTGGTGAGAAAAGGTCGATCTTGAACTTATCGACGCGAACGCGAACACGGCGTCAGCCTTCCATCGATCATTAATCAATCTTACTTCCACGGCGCACTGCGGGCATGCAGCATAGCATCACTGTCTTGTTCCTGGCCTATCTATGCTTTGCCTTGGTTCGTATGTGGGAGTCTTTCTCCAGTATCTCCGCGATTCCCCGCCCCCTAATCTCCCCTCCTCCCCCCTCATCCCCCATACTTGTGTGTGCATGTATGTATCTATCAATCTATCTAGGTAGGTATCTATCTCTCAATCTATCTGCCATAGCTAATCTCCCGTCAAATTCTCGTTCTCTGCGTGGCGCCGGCGAGATACTAGGGCCAGGGCAAGGACATCTTGGCCTAAAATTGCGCCGAAGCTAGGGACGAGCTGTGATTATAGCGGACGCCACGACACGCCTTTCCGAAGCGCGCTGCGCGTATGATTCGAGAAGGGGGACACGGCAGCTGCGCGTTAATCAACGGCGGGCCAAGCCACAATTGCCCGTCTAGGGTGTTGGTGCGCCCACGCCCACGCCCACCGCCCACCGCCCACATATTCCGTATATATCTCGTATTGTAGGCGCGTACCCGTTCTCGTGCCTAGACAGATATATTAACCAACCCCTAAGTTAGTTGCTTGGCTAGTGTGTGTCTTGGTATGTATGTATGTGTGTGGGTGGATGGATTGGAAATGATACGGCTCGGAATCGAACCGGACGGCTGACACCCCATTTCGCCCACGGTAGCCTCCCGGGTCGCCGGCACGACCGACGATGCTAGCGCTGCTGGTTACCGTTTGTAGCGTGGGTCGTGGGTATACATGTTGTAGATGTGGTATACGTACCTAGACATATATACATACAGGTTAAATATGCACATGTGGTCAGCATCTACCCAACCCATCGAACCATCTTTCTTAATATTCGTTCGTAGCCTTGTTATCTCCGCCGTTAGTCTTTCTTCGTTATTGCCCGTATGGTTGAAAGGTGAGCTGACCTCAGCCCCCTTATTCGGAAAACATGTCGCAGGGACTCTTCCCCGCTGTGCTTAGACCTTCCGTGGCGTCCCTTGTGTGCGTGTCAGATTATCACTAATAATTAGCGTATACCCTATCGCGTCTGATGAAATAACTTATCTCGATGCCGGTAGTTGGTTCCGATATCTTAAGGTTACATCCGTGACGGGTTACATTTCTTAGGTAAATAACCAATACGCAGCCAAGTCTTGTTACAGATCCGTAACAGCTCAGAAGGGTTTAGCCCAACCAACCCCTCTCAGCCAGGTCGAGGACATCGGTTACATTTACATACAATGTGCCCCTCGATGCACTCGCTACCTCAATAAGAGAGTTAAGAGGCTTGCTATTGTTGGAGTCACGTATGAATATTTGGCTTATTAACTCCTAATTAAGTTATATTATAAGTTTCGAATATTCTGGCCCTCGTTCTTTGTTCGGGGTAATAAGCATGTAAGCAAAAGCATCTTAGACCCCTGGTATGCTGGAGTTCGGATTAGAATATCTTCCTAGTGCTTAGATCAGTCGGGGAGAAGGCGAATACTACTCTGATATGAACAGTACTGTGTACAACACTTAAATTAACCCCCACGAGCTGTAAGATGTCATATATGAATGTAGCACGATAGATATCATGCAAAATGATAGAGGGGGGGGTTTCTTCGATATTTATCGTGAAGTCTACCTCCCCTGCTATATTACTAATGGTCAACAGCGTCAGGCATACCTTTTCTCGTGAATGACGATAGATTACCTTAAACCATCCTTTTGAAACGTGAAAATGGCAACCTTCATAAGAGTTAATGCCAGTTCGATACGTGATATGGGTTCCATGCGTATAATACATATTATAAGTGGTTATAATATAATTAACATACATATATCGTTATAAGTGGTAATTGTGAATATAACCGTGTATTATTAATAAATTAATAAGCATTACGTAATTTAACTTTAATTTTATTTAAAAACTTTAACTTTGTTTAAAAAAAATATTATATCCGGGCTACCCTCCGCATTAAAAGTTGGGTTCGACCAATCAATCCCTTCCTTTTCGCAGGCTTAAACACATGCGTTTATACAAGTTTAATACTCTCATACACACTCAAATAACTTCACAACAATAGCAATTTAAACGATACCATTGGGATCATTCAATAGCCCTAACTGATGCGAAACTAATGGTACCATTTGCATGCTTATGCGATAGGTATTGAGTATTATATTGCTAATGCTTTCGGAGTCTAGTTGAGAAGACTTCATCGAGGGTGCTGGTGTAGGGTGTCACGTGCATGCTTTCCTCTCCAGACAATCGCTATTTCATTCTACTATACCACAACAACGCAAAGGCCGATTCAAGTGCAACCTGCACCATTGTTTTCGCATCAATTGGAGCTATTGAACGATACCAATTGTAAGGCTTAGACTGCTGTTTCTGTAAAGTTATTTGAGTGTATGTATATATAGCAATGAAAGATTGAATTGATAAGATCCCTTGATTTGATTGGTTAAACCTAACTTTTGGTGGGAGGGTAGTCCGGTAATCAATGCTCTTATTATTAAATATATATCGTACCCATTTACTTTATAACAATTATTTACTTAAAAGTTAAAACCTTTAATGTATATAGTTACTCGATCCCTGTCTCCCATCATCTAGCGTATAAAAAAACAGGGACAAGGGTTATAAAAGGGTAGCAATTCGGATTCGGATCTTTACCTAATGAGTATTGGTTACCAAGGCAAAAGTCCAATGCGGCTATGAGCTTAAACCGATCTCAATTCATCATCATCGTGAGTTTTCCAAGGAGAGGACTAAAGGATGACCGTGGTGGTGGCCGACGACCACGGATAGTAATGGCTAATATGCTATTCCTTTCCACCAATCATACAGAAGTTCTTTGCATAGTCCTACTTCTGTGCCTAGCAGGATATGTTGTTTTATTGTTAGAATTGTTTGCTGCCTTAACTACCTACCAATAGTCACAACTCGTCCTCTCTCTCTCTCTCTCTCGGCCCCCTAAAAGGAATATCGCTAGCCACGTGGTTCCGTTAAGAGACGATTCGGAATTCTTAAAAGTACGGGGGAATGATTATGCGATCGCATCGGCCGGGCTTAACTCTTTCTCGATCACGAACTTCCCCTCTTCCACCATCTTCCGTTGAGGCTTCACACCGTTTGTGGCGTTTTGAGTCTAGATCATCCAATAACAAAGGAGCATTAAGCTAACCCTCTCATTCGGCGGTAAGTTTGCATGATGATAACTGGAATAAGCTTGGTGGAAGTGCACACCTGTAAGGTCATATTCATCACAACTCAAGTTGAGGATTATTCTATCAGCTAGAAATTGAAACCTTTTCGCATCGCGTATTAGCTTGACGATCGTTCCTCCTCCATACTCACCTTCAACGATACCTGTTTTCGGCTCGCCAAGCGCCTTGTTAGAACGTTGCGCTTAGTCGGATGTGCCCTCGCTTTTAACTACCTAAAGTTACTAACAAGACTAACAAGGCAACTCCTCCGGAATCATTATTTCTCATTCTGGATCATCTCATCTAGATCCCTTGACCTTACCACTTACCACTCACCATTCGGGTTCGGGTGTCTTGAATATAAACAAAGTTATTCCAACGAGGGCATTTGATGTCTCGCTTCTCGCTTCTTGCCAATACTACTATGCCCGGAAGTCCGATGGGGGTATAACAACTTCGGACAAGTCTCAGCTACCTACCTACCTGTAGCCGCATAAGCCAAGTAAGGACGACCTGCCGGCTGAGCTTCTATGTAGTAGACGGAGGTTATCAACACGATAATCTTCACCCAGTTGAGACCTCATCAGCAGGCGTTAATTACTTCCCTACGATGCAGTCATCCCTTTAATATATTTCGATATGCGTTAGCCGGGCTTACTTCACCTAATGAGGCCTGATCGACCTTCGTGTCGCGAAGTTGAAACGGTCACTTAGTCAGGCCCGAGAACATCTCCGTATCCTGCCTTTAGAATCTTCGTAGAGGTCCGTAATGTGTGAAAGACGTCTTGGAGAGTCAAGAGGGAGGCGTAATGTCACATGACGCAGCACGAGGGGTAATATCTTAGATATAGGTTAGACATGTCCATATTTCACATTATAAAGGTTAGGTGTAGGTATGTTGCTATATCGAAGAATTCGTCATTGATCAACCTCTCCCACTCTCCCTCGCGCTTCGCGAGATGCGAATATACCGAGGTTACTAATATACTCCAATATACAATAAGAGCATAGTAGTATACAGTATAAATGCTCACTAGAGCGTTGGTAGTAGGTATTCCCCTGTTAATATCCGGGGTATTTCCCCATTTCCCCTATAAAGCACATAGTAGAATCATACCCATTGTAAGTTGAATATCCGGGTCTCTTCAACCTCTAGTAAGACCTCCTATCTTTTACCGCCTCCCTAGATTCCAAAGAGCGTCCCTGTGTCTGTCCGTCTGTCCGCCCCGTTAACTCCGCCTCCGTCCGCCACGACCTTGTCCGTCGTCGTACAGATCCAGCTGCTTCCCCCCGGATAGACGTAGCACAATAAGCGTTTCGGAGCTCCTTGGGGCTCAATCTGCTATAAGATAACGCGAATAACAGTACCTGAAACTAAAAGCTCACACGTCATCACCCCCTCCTCTCATATCATCCCATTTACTACCCATCGTTTCTTCATCTCTGATTAGCTTCCGAAAGAGTCTCCCCATTTTCTCTCATTTATATACTTTAGAGTCATTAGTCATTATAAAGGCCTTGCTTGCATAATTCAATTACTTTCGTCATCATGTCTGCCGGTCCAATGAGTAACCAGGTTAAACCCCTGGCCGGCAAAGTTGCCCTCATCACCGGCTCCGGACGCGGCATTGGCAGAGGCATTGCCCTGGAGTTGGGTCTGCGCGGCGCTTCTATAGTCGTCAACTACGGACGTAGCTCGAGCTCCGCCGAGTCCGTCGTCAAGGAGCTTGCTGAGCTGGGCTCCAAGGCCGTCGCAATCCAAGCCGACATCTCGAAGCCGGCGGAGGTAGTCGCGCTGTTTGAGAAAGCCGTCGCGCACTTCGGCGGTATTGACTACGTCGTCTCGAACTCGGGCATGGAGGTATGGTCCGAGGAGACGGACGTGACACCGGAGCTCTTCGATCAAGTGTTCAACCTGAACACGCGGGGGCAGTTCTTCGTCGCGCAGCAGGGGCTGAAGCATGCGCGCGAGGGCGGGCGCATCGTGCTTACGTCCTCGATCGCTGCGCAGATGGCCGGCGTGCCCAACCATGCTTTGTACGCTGGTTCTAAGGCTGCCGTTGAGGGTTTCACGCGCGCCTTCGCTGTCGACTGCGGTAAGAAGCGCATCACTTGTAACGCCATCGCGCCCGGTGGCATCCAGACCGACATGTTCGACGAGAACAGCTGGCACTATGTACCCGGTGGCTTCCAGGGCATGCCCGTCGACAAGATCAAGGAGGGTCTCGCTAGTATGTGTCCACTAGGACGAGTTGGTGTCCCTGCCGACATCGGGAAGGTGGTCTACTGCCTCGTGAGCGACGAGGGCGAATGGATCAATGGTGAGTTAGCTGCAATTTCTTTTCTCTTTCTTTTTTCTTTTGATCCTTCCGCCACCATGCTGACCGTTTGTAGGCCAAGTCATCCGTGCTTCGGGCGGTGGCACTTAGATAATGCAATTATCCCCTTAGTCTCCACTACGACGCTTGAAAGCTGACCGCGCGCCATCTGGGCGGGAATAAGTGATCCTACAAGTCGAATGGGAAATTTCAGTAAATAGAAAGCATTGAAAAGACGGAATTCAAACTGGTAGCATACATCTCACATGGAGGGGATATTACTGGGTATGACGAATCTGGGAGGAATATTAGACCATTATACTATTATACTACTATTCTCACCTTCACAGCTGCGCTGTTCATGTTTACGCATGTTCCTATAAAGTACCTATGTGACTGAAGTTGCGTCCAATAGCATGACACATGCTTACGAAGATATCACGGCGAGATGAGCCATAATGTTGCTCAAATTTTGCCGAAAACAATATTTGTAGCTCAAACGAACGATGAGATATGCAGGTTGAATCCGGAGGATGGTAACACAGTCCATATGCGTGCTCTATGAGTTTTAAAATATTGTAGTTATACTTACCCAGGCATTTAATACTAGTCACGGGTTTCGTCAGTATCTACCTTGATGTTTGTACGTATCGGTTACGCTAGACATCCGGTTCGAGTTTTATACGTTATCTATACGAGAAAGGCGGTGGGGCAATAGAAGACATTTTACCGTCAATGCCAACTTCCTAGATTATTGTCCCCGCGTTAGAAGACAGACCCGCGATCTAGTTCACAAGCGAGAAAAGCAAACACCGAATGAGGATTCAAACGCAATGTGGTTGACCTACTAGCTAACATGCCAAGGAGAAATGTGCCGTTTCGCGTTTGTTCCATTTGAGCTTTCATAAAAATTATCCCCAATCCCTGAGGCTAGATGGTTAAGATGACGGTTAAGTGATGAAAAGGTGGGTTATAGCGAAATGAAGCTATCCACACGAAAAATGAGTGAGTTTTCTATAAGTTTGCTTCTTGTTGCCTTGGGTACCTTAGGTAGTTTATTCCATATATTTCCGGAGGACCATCCGAGCGAATGAGGCTGAAGTGAGGTGAGATGGCTGACGTGAATGTAAGACTGAAGAGCCGGTTTCTGCGTAAGTTAGTCCTGGTAACTTAACGTGTGTAAGCGAAAATGATACATCTCATGAGGTAAGACGGTTGTTGGTGCGCGCAATGCATGTCTTATCATAACGTAACGATTCTGCCTTCGCATCGACTTACTATGTGTGACCTAGACAATGCCATTTCTTAGATGACTTCATATCAGATCAAGCAGCGTCTTTATCCCGTTATTGTAGAATAGAGAGTGGCAACTGTGACTCGGTAAGTAAGCGGCATAGAATGTGGCTAGTGATGGTGTACTGGCTGAAACTACGGGGATGGTTGCACGCAAGATTGGTAGGTATGAGTACGAGGTAAGGCGGAAGAGGGACTCATGACGCCAGCGCCGTGCGGAAATAATGGCATAAACATGTAAAAAAGAGGCGGAAGAAGAAGGGAATGAAGGAAGGATACCGCGTGTCCCCTGTGGGCTGGACAGTAGGTACAGAGGATTCGGTGCTCGAATTATTGATTCCTCATAACCATCTGGACCCCTGCCCGGATCTTAGAAGGATCGTAGGGCGTACAGACACTGCTAGAGGTAAGTCCGACTCTTCCTGGTGTAGTTAACTCCGATCCAATTGCGACATTAATCTCTAGAAGGAAAACTGACAATAATTTAAGTCGAAGGTTTCTTTGCAGACATTTCGCTTACCACGTAAAGAGCGAATCAGGACAAATTTTGCGATATAGTTATGATACGTAATGTATCTTATTGACTTGGTGTGCCACGGGTCGCTTTATACGCGGCCCGTAAGATGACACGAATACACAAGTCGTTGCGGGTTTCCTATTAAGGCTTGTCTGGGATCTCGATTAATAACGAGCTCACTATCCTGCCTTAGTAAGGTGTTCTCAACACCACTGATCCCCGGATCAATCGCATACTGTCCTAAGACAAAGGCTTCAGTATCATAAAGCCAGGGACTAGTCCAAGCCTGTAATTCCGCCCATAACGTCAAATTTTTGTTCGAACAGAGCTGACTAGATAAGCCTAGGCATGCGTTATTTTCGTTAAACGCGTTGTCGAATTAGGTACCTAGATAGGCTTATACAAAAGTCTATGTCTTTTGATAAGTGGTTTACGGATCAATAATCCAAAAATAAAACATTACCTAAACGCCCCATCGACGGATCCTAGCTAACGAAGCAAATGGGACGATTTTAGGTTGTTGCATGGGAGCTGGAAGCTGGAAGCTAAGAGTCGGACGCCATGAGCCGTCTAGAACAAAGCTACCTAGACGTCCTGCCCCTGCAACGAATAAGCTGGGACCCGGCAATCAACCTCTGATGGGGTTGGGGATGACCACCCTATACCTGTGCCAGATAATTGTCCGAGTACATTTCTGACACTAGAACCATTTCTCATAAGTGAAACATGCTTATACCGTTGGAGCGACGTTAGGATGGGTGATACTTACCTACCAACAGCGTGTACCGAGACCGATAAGACTGGACTTCAGTCATAGACTGATAGAGGAGGCGTTAGGAGGCTTGCAGAGAGAAGGGCTAGATTGTTATGGTGGTGTGAGAGACTATCCGATTCGATAGCATGCATGACAGCAAACAAATGTAAGAGAACATCGACCCGAGGTAGCTGGGCAGCCAAGCTAATTCTTCGTATGAGTGCTTAGTTCTCTCGAAACGAAGTTTAGAGTAGAGCAACTCGAAACTACGAGAAATCTATTTGCCAAGGATGAGATATTTCCTAGCAGACGGGGGCTGTGCAGTTGTATAGCTTCAATCGATAAATGAGCCGATAGGCTAAGAGAGGTGAGTTCATCCCATCTTAGAATTCGGGCTTCGAAGGTACCACAGTGGACAAGAGCAATTCATGCGTTACAAGGGAAAAAAAAAACCCCCCCATCTCGTGCTGCGTATCCCGCATAGTAGTATTTCAGGTTAGTATAAGCTTGTCAGATTTAGTACTGTAACGTTGGGATTTGGTTCGTTAGCCACGAGAAGATCCCAGAGATGTGGCAGATGAAGCGCTATTGGTCCAGAGCTTCCCACCTTGTCGAAACGTGGTATACCTGACCGGTGTGAGATTGACGCATGGAACTAGGGTCGCATTGCAGATATCAGCCGGCGAACCGATTGAAGTGGCCTAGAAGCTGCCCAAAAATCAAAGCTGTTGTCTGTGGGGGTATCACGACAAGAGGTCGGGCGCTCTACGGGCTCGGCCCGTTTCACGTCATTCGTCATTAGTTCGGGAGTGGTAGTCTAGGTATGTAAGAGTGCAGGAAACTAGTCATATTTAGAGGAGGATCGAGGGCATTCCTCAAGCGTCATTTGTAGACCATTCGTAGGTCTAATTAGACCATGTAATAGCCTTTCATTTCTCGCTTAAGGTGACTCGCTCTGCATGCGCAGTATTTTCGTTTCCCAAGCTTACTGGCTATCTCACATGAACCTCGTTTGTGAGACCCGCGCTAGATATCCACCATAGAAAGTAGTGTACGAAATGAGAGCGGTGTACGTACGGATGGAATGATTCCAAAGACGCCCAACGGTGGCATTGATTCGTAAATGGCGAAGAAACACATTTCCACCTATAGTATGTGATATACTTCTATCGGCTTTCTTGGACTAGGTAGCCATGTGCCATAATTCGAGGCTGTGAGGATCTGGCGATCCTTCATGATTGGATCTTCAACTCCCATACGGTCGGGTTAGACTATGACGTGGTCCATGATCCTATAAATGTGGATGTATGTACGTAGGAACTAGTGAGAAATTTCAGCTAGCTTATGTGGCTCAGAGATCTCGTATCTGATTTAATATGTAGAATGTGGAATATGGAATGTGGAATGTTGTAGATGGAAGTTTTCGTGGTGAGTAAAATGAAACTGGGCAACTTACCCAAGATCTAGTTACATGGTACATGATTAGGTAGCCTTACCTAATACAAAACCAGCTAGACTGCCCAACTTTAAGATAAAGTTTGAAAGGGTTACAGCGGGGTAGGGACCGCTTAGTACGATCGTACAAGGGTTTAATCTTATTGAAGTTACGCTAGCACCTAAGGTTAGGCATAATACGTTTATGTGCATTTAAACGGCGTAATATGCTAGTTTTTATGTATAATGTCCATATGTACCTAAGCACATGCAGTTCGTAAATTAATAAGCTTATTACTCATACATCTCAGTTTTCTTTTATAGAACAAAAGCAAAAGTACGCTGATATATGATTTAATTTCTTAAACATGTTCGAACTCAATTCCGTTAGTTAAAATAATGTTTCACTTATAGTTTAAATGAGCCCCAATATTAGCTTAGCTAATCCAATAACTCTTGACTACCCACGCACATGTAAGTCACAAGCACAAAGATTCCTCAACGCATGTGGCTAAATTATATCGACAGCTAGGTATGTATTCCCGCCAGTCAGTTTAAAAGTGTTCCGAATCTTACGCAATACAGGTTATCGTGATGTTCGTGATGTTTGCTATGACCATATTGTGACTATTATCTATCTCGGTTTACAAATCCTGAAATCAGATAATCTTGTAGCATACGTGGGCGGCTAGCTACCTACCTTTCAGTCAAATGCGCCTTAAATGCAACTTTGTCAAGCCAAGCAGCAGTGGCTAGGATCTAGTTTAAATGATCGACCACGATGTTTCCTTCTTGACATAAAGTGCGGAGGCTGGAAGAAAATAAACGGCGCCCTAAGGCTGCACTATGTCACAACAGGATAGAGATTTTCGCAAGCTGAGATAGCGCGCCAAAGTGGCTTGACGCCTTGAGTTAGGGTATACGCTATGTCCTCAGGTGGGAGGGAGACACATGTACATATTCCACTTATATTGACAAATCAAGACTTTGAAAAGACTCAAAATATACCACTTTCGGAATGGTACAAAAGACTCGACCAATTAGACACTAATGGATGATGTACCGTGTCTCCCTCGCGCTTAAGGACACTCTGTACTACTCTTTGTTCTTTGT